TGGCGCCTGTGGCGCCAGTGGCGAACGTGGCGACACACGCCGCGGACGCGGAGCACGCGCCAGCGGCACACGCCTCCGGCCGGCCGTCGCGTCAGCGCCAGAGGCGCCGTACGGCTGCCTCGTCTGACGCGACGGCTGACCAGGCCTTGACCGAGGCGTTGACCCCGGACCAAGTCAAGGCCCTCCTGTCCCTGTTACAGCAGCACCCCGCTAGCGCGATCGCCGCCGAAACTACACAACCTGCTGCATCTGCATCGGCTAAAAACGACATTGCAAAAAAGGAAAAAGGAGCAAAAGGACCATCAACGCGCCGCCACGACAAGGAGGCCGTTACCAGCGCTCCTGAAGCTGCAGCAGTCAACAACGACTTCGACGACTCAGACGACGACGCCGGTGAGGCTCCGAACAACGCAACAAATTTCCCCCCCATGGAAAATCTCCCTCCCCTCCCTTGCACTAACCCCACTTTTTCGGCGGCAAACTTCATTGACCCGATCGTGCGAGCGAAAGTGGAGCCCCTGGAGGACCTGAGGGCCTACCTGAAGCACGCGGAGTACAAACTGCAGCGCGGCGACGCGGCGGGCGGACTTGAAATGGTCGCGAGCGCCCTCGACTACATTTCGGAGCGCTACGACATGCTTCAAGTCGAGGACGCCACCGACGATCGCGTCGCCAAGCGGTTCAAGATGTACCAGCAGAAGAGCCTCCTTACCTCCCGCCCGTTCAAGCAAGCCGTCGCCGACGTGGCAGCGATAGATCGCGCGGAGGGTGCGCACGCTCGATCCCACCGCGGCGGAGGTCGCGGGCCCATGGCGTTCAACCCCAAGCGCGGCCCGCCTATGGGGAGCTTCCACGACTTCCGTGGGACATGCTTCCGCTGCGGCCAGCCGGGGCATGTGGCAAGTGGCTGCCCGCGGAATGGCAATGGCGGCCAAGGACCCGCACCCGTGGTGTAGGGATGGTCCTTGAGCGTTTGCGCCTTAGCGCGCGTGGCACGGTGCACGTCAAGTGCGTTGACCGTGGGCAACCCAAAGGGGTTTGCGGTGGCCATGAGCCAAGCCCTAGTTAAGGGTGATGATTAGGCTATAGGCCTAGGTGGCAGGAGAGGGACTAGAAAGCCCTTTGGTCCCATAATTTGGCCCGTGCGGTGCGGGGCGGATGCATGCTAGGAAGCATGGCTATGTGTGGCCCGTTTCTTATAAGGGCTTTATTTTTAAAGAAGTACTTTCTGATCTTGGCTTTGGATGACAAAAAAAAAAAAAAAAAAAAAAACCAGAGAGCGACAAAATGGCAAGCACCCACACGAACCCGAGCAAACGGCCCCACCATTCGTTGGCATTGGTAGCCTTTATATTGGCCACGAGCCAAAAAGGCATGTCATGGATAAAGGGAAAGCAAGAGCAAATGCAAAGAGTGAACGAGAGCGAGATAGAGAGAGAGAAAGAAAGAGAGAGAGAGAGAGAGAGAGAGAGAGAGAGGGAGAGAGAGAGAGAGAGAGAGAGAGAGAGAGAAAGAGAGAGGGAGAGAGGGAGAGAGAGAGTGAGAGGGGAGAGAGAGGCGAACCGCGTCACACATGGGTGACAAACGATGATTACGACTTGTTGATGCGTCTACGCACGCGTTATCGCATGCACATTCCTGAGACACGATGGCTTGCATTCTAACACCTCTGCGCCATTGTCACTCGGCAAACATGCAGAGATAACACGACACGAGACGCTAGGCGACGGAGATCCGTACGAGTTCGCCGTCACTGACAAATCTGTCACGCAAATGCGCGGGCGGCTTCGCGTAACCCTTGCATGGTGGAGCTCGTGGTGCCCCAGCAGCCTCATCCTCTCTGTCATCGCTAACGGTTACTGGCTGCCATGGAGCCACAACCCACCACAACCGTTTCACGAGCGCAACCACCTCGGGGCGCACACGCATGCTGCGTTCACACGCACTGCCATTCGCGAACTTACCGAGACCGGCGCGGCGGTGGTCACCCCAGCAGCGGAGCTCACATGCATAAGCCCACTCAACGTGGTTGAGCAACGAGAAAAATGCAGGCTAATCCTCGACCTCAGAAAAGTGAACGCGCACCTGACCATCCCTAAATTCAAATACGAAGGCCTAAGCCGCGTGGCCGACCTGGCACGCATGGGAGATTGGATGTTCTCCATCGACCTCAAATCGGGATACCACCATATCGACATACACAACTCTTGCTGGAAATTCTTGGGCTTCGAATTTGAAGGGCGCACGTACGCCTTCCGTTCACTACCCTTTGGCCTCGCCACGGCACCATTTGTCTTCACGCAGCTCATCAAACAACTAGCCAGGCGCTGGCGTGAACAAGGCGTTCGAGTGATACCCTATGTGGACGACATCCTGTTCTTATGCACGTCCAATGCCCACGCACAAGCAACATGCCAGCAGATAATTTCGGACCTCAAGATGGCGGGCTTGGTGATTAACGCGAAAAAGTCGCAGCTGCTGCCATCCCAACATCTGCGATTCTTGGGCGTCGAGTTGGACACCAAATCTGGTCAATTCTCAATTGGCACCGATCGACGAGCATCACTTCACGCACACATTCGGAACCTACTGGACGCAAGCAAAGCGCGCCGACAGGTTCCAGTCCGCCACCTGGCCAGAATCACCGGCACACTCGCGTCGATGGCCGTCGCACTCGGCGCCACGACGCGTGCATTCAGCCACGCCATGCTACAAGCAATTAACGACGCGCCATCCTGGGGAAGCAGCTTGAGCATTTCCCCCCCCGTTGCTGAAGAGTTGCAGTTCTGGCTTGAAGAGTTCGACAAATTTAATGGCGCACCATTCCACGTTCGGAATAGTTATGACGCGGTAATTCACGTGGACGCCAGCTCTCATAGTTGGGGCGCCACCCTTCTCACCTTCCCTGGTGAAATCGAAGAGGCAAGCGCAGCCATGCCAGAACCATTGCGAATGACGTCCAGCACTCGGAGGGAAATTGAAGGCGTCCTTTGGGCCCTTCGAACGTACGCGAACAAGGTTCAGCAAAAACACGTGCTCGTGAGGGTGGACAACCAAGGGGTCTTCTTCATCCTCCGCAAAGGCAGCTCTCGCACCCCCGACCTCACCACCGCTTGCAAGGACATCATCCGCACGTGCATGGAGCTCGGCACTCGATTAATTGTTGAATGGATCCCGCGCGAGCTAAACTCCCATGCAGATGAGCTGTCCAAAATGATCGACCACGACGATTACTCCTTGAAACAACCATGGTTCCGCATCCTCAATCGTCGCTGGGGTCCCCACTCAATCGACCTTTTCGCAAGCCCAAACAACTCGCAGCTGCCACGATTCTGCTCAAAGATACCACACCCGGAGGCCACTGCAATCGACGCATTCTCGATTTCATGGTCGACCGAGAATGGCTTCGCGTTCCCGCCACCCCAGTTAATCCCAGCAGTCATCCACCACGCACAACGCACCCACGCCTCACTCACCCTCGTTGTCCCACATTGGCCAGGGGCAACCTGGTGGCCACTCCTACAACCCTCCCCACCTAGCTGGGCCCCGCATATCCAAGCACAAATTCCCCTGACGCACGGCAGCCAATGTTTAGCAGTAGGCTCGCACCGCACCGCTTTCTCAGGCACAGGATTGCCTCATAGTACAATCGTCGCATTACGAGTGGTCTTCAACTAACCCATCTCGTCCTCCTTCGCGCAGACGTACTTCCAAAGCTACAAGTACAGCTTCTAAAGATGCTCTCACAGTCTCGTGCTGACTCAACGATCCAAACGTACGAGCCATACTGGGTCAAGTTTCGAGCCTTCTGTGCAAAGGTGGACCTCCCATTCCTCCCCGCGGCAGACATGACCCTCGCACAATACCTGGTGTACGGCATCAAACGCAAGGCCACCCTATCCATGGTACAACTCACCTGCTCAGCCGTGAGCTTCGCCCACCGCATGACTGGGAGCGCATGCCCAACGGCAGGACCATTCACCACTCAAGTACGCGACTTTGCGAAACGACACTGCCCTCACCCCACGAGAGTGAAGGAGCCAGTCTCGCTGCAACAAGTCCGTGACATGTCGGCAGGATACCTGCGATCTGACAACCCCGGCGAATTCCAGAAGGGGCTCATCCCCATTCTCATGTACTCCGGATTCCTGCGATACTCAGACCTCGTCGCCATCGAGTGGCAAGACATCCAGTTTGACGACGAGGTCATGTGGATCCTAATTCCGTACTCCAAGACGGACCAAGCTGGAAAAGGCACATGGATACCTATCGCCGCAACACACGATCCGTTCTGCCCTGTCCGCGGCACTCAACGACTCATTCGACTCGCCGGATACGATCAGCAATCAAGGGGGCCGCTGATTCGCACCTTCGGTCATGGTTCCACCCAAGGTGGCCAATCAAGGCCACCGTCGTATCCGACAATCCGAAACTGGTGCAAAGAGGCCTTTGGGAAGATCGGACTTGGAGAACAACAGCTGGGCACTCATTCCTTTCGCAAGGGTGCAGCCACTGCCGCGGCAAACACCGGCGTGCCAGACAGAATCTTCAAACGGCTGGGCCGATGGCGTAGTGACGCAGCCAAGGAGATGTACGTCACGCCAAATGCCGAACATCTCATCAACGCCTCCCGCCAGTTGCAGGACCTGAATCATGCCCCGTCCTCAGCACAGCACGCAGAGGCACTCATCCGTCATCGGAAGCCCCGGCTACCCATGTCTCAAGAACCCCAGTTGAAATGAGAACGATGCCAAATGATAAGTAAGAGAAAGCAAGCTTTCTAAATATTATAATTTTTAAACACACGAAGTGTTTTTCAAAATTACGTATTTCGAAAGCGCAGCTGCTTGTAACGCATGTTTTGGCATCGTCGAAGCGCGCTAAACGCCCTTCTCCAACTACAAATCGTGGGTTGGAGCTCATTTCCCTCCACCCACGTCTCTCGTTTTCCAACGGCTCATGCAACTCTCCCACCCCCCGCCCCAACACTGACGGGCATCATCGACGCTGCTTGAACGAGAAGATCGATAGCTTGTAGCATGATAGACATCAAGTAGCATGATGAATCGCTAGTACAATGATTGATACGCAGATAGTAACATGTACTAGCACTTCTGTTTCCTAGCTCGAGGTGCATGTTGTAATTTGCCAGTTGAAATGAGAACGATGCCAGTTGAAATGAGAACGATGCCAAATGATAAGTAAGAGAAAGCAAGCTTTCTAAATGGGTAAATTTTTTGAAACTATGGAAAACCCTGATGGAAAAGAATTTTCCCTAGGGGTCACACTGATAATCAGAGTATTGCTAAGGTGCAGGACTGATGATAAGGGTTGCTTAAAACAAAAAATTAGCCCTGGTTGGGTCCACTTGAAGATGAAGTATTTTTGTTTTGTTTTGGAATGTTGGAATTGCTGTATGTGTACTTTTTTTTCCGACCCTCGGACGAGTTTCTTATTGGACCAGGAACAATAGTTCATTGTCAATTCTGATTGGCAGCCAGGTTCTCTCACATACACATGTGCGAATTTGGCGCAAAGTTGAGCGACGAGCACTCCTGCATTCACTAGAGCCAATACTTCACCAAATTCACAACTAGCAACATCTCACGCTAAATCCCAAGCAGACACACATGTACGTGATGAGAGTGAAAGTGTTTGAACGTTATTAGAGCTAGTAGAGCTCTGATCAATGTGCTGCCTTGGACGTGAGGCTTGGGAGAGGTGCAATAACGGGAAACAGAAGAGAAAAACAGCACTAGGGGGGAAATTATGATGGGCAAGGTGACGCGAATGAAGAGAAAGAGGGAGGGCGACGGGAAACAGGAGGGCGACGGGAAGGGAGGGCGTAGGAAACGGGAGGGCGACGGAAGAAGGGGGCGACAGGAAATGGGAGGGCGACGGAAGAAGGGGGGCGACGGGAAACGGGAGGGCGACGGGAAACGGGAGGGCGACGAGAAACGCGAGGGCGACGGGAAACGGGAGGGCGACGGGAAACGGGAGGGCGACGGGAAACGGGAGGGCGACGGGAAACGCGAGGGCGACGGGAAAAGGGAGGGCGACGGAAGAAGGGAGGGCGACGGGAAACGGGAGGGCGACGGGAAACGCGAGGGCGACGGGAAACGCGAGGGCGACGGGAAACGGGAGGGCGACGGGAAAAGGGAGGGCGACGGGAAACGGGAGGGCGACGGGAAACGGGAGGGCGACGGGAAACGGGAGGGCGACGGGAGAAAAGATAGGCCACGGGAGAAAGGATAGGCGGTGGGAGAGAGGGTGTCGAGAATAGATGGAAAGACAGAAAAAACAAACAAACCATACACAATAACAGAGTACGGAATGGGTCCCGCTGACGCGATAGCAGAGGGAGAACGAGAGAGGCGACGGAGAAAGGAGGGCATACGTGATGGAAGAGTCGAAGGTCGCCGGGAGGGCTATTCGAGGCGAGCGAGAAGGGAGGATGGGAAGGGAGCAAAAAGAGAGAGGGCAATGGGAAGGGAGCGGAGAGAGAGAGCGCGACGGGAAGGGAGCGGAGAGAGAGCGCGATTCCAAGGGAGGAGCGAGAGAGAGGGCGGAGCGGAGAGAGAGAACGCGATGGGAAGGGAGGGGCGAGAGAGAAGGCGACGGGAAGGGCGCGGAGAGAGAGAGCGCGACGGGTAGGAGGGGCGAGAGAGAGGGCGACGGGAAGGGAGCGGAGAGAGAGATCGCGAAGGGAAGGGAGGGGCGAGAGAGAGGGCGATGGGAAGGGAGCGGAGAGAGAGAGCGTGACGGGAAGGGAGGGGCGAGAGAGAGGGCGACGGGAAGGGAGCGGAAAGAGAGAGCGCGACGGGAAGGGAGGGGCGAGAGAGAGGGCGAGGGGAAGGGAGCGGAGAGAGAGAGCGCGACGGGAAGGGAGCGGAGAGAGAGGCCGACGGGAAGGGAGCGGAGAGAGAGCGCGATTCGAAGGAGGAGCGCGAGAGAGGGCGGAGCGGAGAGAGAGAGAGCGATGGGAAGGGAGGGGCGAGAGAGAGGGCGATGGGAAGGGCGCGGAGAGAGAGAGAGCGCGACGGGAAGGGAGGGGCGAAAGAGAGGGCGACGGGAAGGGAGCGGAGAGAGAGAGCGCGACGGGGCGAGCGACGGGAGGGCGATCGGTAGGGAGGGGCGAGAGAGAGGCCGACGGGAGGAGAGGAGGGGAGAGAGGGCGACGAAGAGGGCGACGAGATGGTGACGTGACGCACGACGGAAAGGGAGACGGGTGGGCGATTTGGCGAACTCGAGGATAGCATAGTGGCCGATGAGAGGGGTGAGATGAATGGCGATAGGAATGGGGTTCTCTGTGATCGCGAGGAAAATATCACTACGCAGCAACGGCGACGAAGTATCACAAACAATCTAATGATAATTTCATTTTTATGCCGCATCAGCCTAATCCCTCGTCTTTGGCAATTCTATGCTAGGAAAGCTCCGTGAGTTAGGCAAGCTACGTGAATGGAGTTGAAGTAAGCATATGTGGAACCCAGGCCCAGCTTGAAAGTCGAAGTCGGGTCCAACCATCAAAACGCACGACAAACAACTGTCGTGCATCTGTCGCATGCAGAAAATGCGAACGCGCGAGCATGATCTGAATTTTTTTTTGGCGGGAACGAATCACGTGTATTCAGTCTGTGGAAGGGCGATGCCCGGAACAGTGTTTTACACAGCCCATCGTCGTTCCAGTTTTGCTTCTTCCGAGCACGATTTCAAGTTGGATCCGCCTTCACTATTATATATTTCGGTTTTAATACATTTTCACTAGAAAAAATATAGTTTTTTAAGGTAGAAGTTGAATATAGAAACTTAAACATGCCTGCGCTACCTATACTACCTACACTAGCACTGCCTAGTCCTCATCCCCATCGTCAGAAATCGTGGCGCAAGTCTCCTCCTGGTTGCTAGTCGCTTAGAGTGGGATGACACACTTCTTAGTGGTTCCGGCGGCGTGCACATCGTCGTGCACATCCACGTGCGCTGCATCCCGCATGTTCGCCAGGAAGAGGTGGTCTTCCACACCGTCGGGACAATTGCTAATGCCGCATGTCTTGAATGACCGCTCGATGGTCTTCGCTGCGACCAGGGCCTCAGATTGGTTTTGAGCTAGGCTGAAACAATCAAAGTTGGTACAAAACATTATGCTAAAAATCAGAAAAATCTGCCATTTTATGCCAGTTTACACTACAAATCACATAAATTTTCCTGTTTTTTCACAGAAAAATGTTGAAAAATCAGCCACAATTCTAAAAAAGGTCTGAAATCTCAGCCTTTTTTACCCAAATCAGCCTTTTTTCGCTGACTTCTGAGGCCCTGGCTGCGACTCCTGCCCACGCTTCAGCGTTCCACTTCAGAACGATGTCAGCTGGCGGCTTCTTCAGGTTCCCTGCGAACACAAGCGAACAAGCGAAAGCTTACAGTAAAAGGTTCCTACGGTACTAAAGACCGTCGCTTACAAAAAGCGGGATAGGTGACTACTTACCAGCGGGTGTGAAGGCGTCGATGCCGACGCTTGCGAACCACTCGTTATAGAGCTCTCCAATGCGCGCCTTGAAGGTACAGTTGATTGCGACATCCAGCGGCTGCAGAAGAGGAGTGCAGCACCCTAAACCCTAAGCACACCAATTAATGCACTACACAATCCTAGGTTATAACACCAAACTCAAACTTTTATTCCTTCGAAAACCATCCATGAGCACAAGCAAATGCAGGCGCGGACCGTCTTAGGATCTAAACTACGATGAAAATCCATAATGACATGCCAGGCTATCGAAAACGAGCGCTCTGAATCCGCCGACGTTCCCGGTATGGGAAGACAGTCGCGCCCCATATGCACGACAATGGGATAAAGAGGAAGGTAGAACGCTATCGGGTCAAACACTCAATCTCGTCTTTCAAAGGTAGCCGTCCAAATGAGTGCTAACCTCCATGGTCTTTCAACTTGTGCGACGTTGGAAAATGAAATCAAAAGAGAAGACCTTCTCGGCTCCAACGAGGAGGTTTGGGGAGTGGCGACGGAAGTGATATTCTCGTAACTTTGTTCTCCCTTTGCTTCCTTTTTTGCCCCATACATGCCTTGGTGACGTGCTCTTGCACACTACCGATTCTTTGAATTTCACCACCCAACCTACCATCGGCATAGTACTCAAGGTTGAACTTTGGGTCCAAGACCGTAGCGAAGTTGTATTCCTCATATTATCGGTTATCGTATCCCTTGAATTTCTCAAGGCCCTCCTTGTACGCCTTCCAAAACTCCTCCTTCTCCTCCACCCTCCCCTCCAAAAGATCCATTAAGGCATCAATAGATGGAATACACAAGGATAAGGTTGGGTAGCTTGAGCCCTCTACCATATTCTGTACTTCGTCGAACGACTCAAGAAGGTTTTCAAGACGCTCAATGCAATCCCACTCTTCACCCCTCATCCTAAGTTCCCACGCCACCTCATCGGACACATACTCCACCAGGTACGCATTTATTGAGGTTCGGAGCAACCTTGCTCTCTTCATCATGAAATGTGTGAAAATGAACGAGGATGAATGCAGTATGAAAGAGTTGGGTACAAGTACTAACCCTAATTGGGTTGTACCCCATATAGGCTACCCCACTACAGCCTACACAAAAGCATAAGCTATAATGTTCTGACACACCCCCATAGGCAAAGTGGGGGAGTACAAGGGGTCACAAGACCACTCAAGCAAAGCAAAGCAAAGCAAGCTCAGGGTGGATCACAAAGTCACCACACATTCCGAGCACAAGGTCAAGGCCACAAGGCCAGTTCACATGCAGGAGTACATATATATATAAAAGGCTAGACAAGCAAGAGCAGGTGTATATATATATATGTAACAGTACAAGCAAGGTCAAGAGGTGAGCAAGTGAGGCAAGGCAGGCACAAGACCCAGCTGAGTACAGAAGCGCTGATGATCAGAAGGCGCAAGCGCCTTGGTGAAGATATCAGCAGTGTTGGCCTCAGAGGCCACGTACGCAAGACGCAGCTGACCACGCTGCTGCAGCTCACGAGCAAGGAAGTAGCGGAGAGCAATGTGCTTCGTTCTGTGCTCCAGTCTCTGCTCTCGAGACAAGGCCAGCATGGCCTTGTTGTCTACGTACAGCACTGGATGAGAACGAGGCAGCTCTCCGAGGTAAATCAGCAGGTAGGTGAGCCAGCGAAGCTCCTGTGCAGCCATGGCCCCGGCGTAGATCTCAGCCTCAAAACTGGAGCCGAGAACAGAAGACGAGCGGGTAGCCCACCACGAAACAGAGCCGGAACCAAGGCTGAAGGTGTAACCCTGTGACGACCGCTGCGTAGCGTGGTCGTCAGCCCAAGAAGCGTCTGCGTGCCCAGTGAGGACCACTGGACTCTGCCCTCCAAGCACAAGCCCCATGCCTGACGTACTGCACAACTAGCGCAACACCCTCTTCGCTGCAGCCATGTGCTCCGGTCTGTGTCTCCCAGGAGCAACATAGCGTGCGAGAATGCTAAGAGGGTATGCAAGGTCAGGTCGAGTGCAGGTCATCAGGTACATGAGGCAGCCAACAAGCTCTGGGTACGGGCAACTCGACTCTACGGACTCATCCGAAGGCAGAGCTGAGAGCGAGTGGCGAGTAGGCAGAGGAGTGGCCTGAGGCGAGAAGTACGTGAAGCCGAAGCGCTGAAGGACCTGCTGCACCATGTGTGACTGAGTCAGGGTAATGGTGCGGCGTGCTCTGTCCCGGGTGATCTGCAAGCCAAGGTAGCTACGCAGTTCACCCACGTCTGTGCACGTGTGTCTCTTCTGCAGCTCGGACTTCACGTGGGCGAGTCGAGCAGTATCAGCTGTGGCAAAGACCAAGTCGTCGACGTACACGAGGATGTAGAACGGCGACAAAGAAGTTTCGGTGCACAGAAACAGCGACGGGTCGGCAGTAGAGGGAGCAGACCCAAGAGCCACAAGTGTAGTCCTCAGTGTGTCGTGCCACTGACGCGGTGCCTGACGGAGGCCGTAGACAGGCCGCCGGAGGCTCCACTGGGTGCCAGGAGGAAAAGACCCAGTGAAGCCAGGTGGGCGGCGCAGCCAGATCTCCTCGTGCACGCTGCCCTGCAGGAAAGCTGTGCTGAAGTCAAGAGAGTGAAGCTCGTAGTCACGGTGAGCAGCTATGTGCAGCAGTACCCGAAGAGTGGTCATCTTCGGGGTGGGAGAGAAGGTCTGAAAGTAGTCAACTCCTTGCCGGTGACTGAAGCCACGAGCCACGTAACGCGCCTTGAAGACAGGCGGAGAACCCGGCGGCCGCTTCACCCTGAAAATCCACATGCCACTGACGATGTTCGCTCCAGGCGGGGGAACCTCGTCAACGTAGGTGCCTGTGGACTTCCAGGAAGCCATCTCTGCGTCCATAGTTGCCTGCCACTGAGAGGAGTAGGGACCCTCTATTGCCTCCGCGTAAGAGCGCGGAGTCGGGATGTCAAGTGCATCCGGGTCTCCCTCAGGGGTAAGGAGTACGGACACGAGATGAGGTGAAGCAGCAGCCAGACATTGGAACTCCTCCTGCCTGTCCTCAAGGACGTCCGTGCCAAGGGCACACTCACCCCCGACGGACGGAGGACAGACAGACTCAGACTCAGCAACAAGACTGGCGGCGTAGTCTAGGCGACAGCGAGCAGCAAAGTCGACGAGCTCAGTAACTAGGGCAGACGCAGCAGTGGACTCAAAGGAAGGGTCAGTGACAACAGTAGCAAGGAGACGCGTGACAGTAGGACTTGCAGCACGAAGAGAGTCCGACTCCGGGTCGGCAAGAGCAGGGAGAGAAGACTCAGGAGGAGAAGGTAAAAGGGCACGCAGAGGAGCAGTGGACGGACGCAGAGACTTCCGGTGCGTGCCAGGGACAGGAGGAGGACGCTGACGCGAATCGCGACCACTAGTGCGAGCAGCACGGACAGGCGACGCAGGGCGAGACGCATGCTCACGACGCTCAGCAAGACCTCCAGTAGGACCAGTGTAGGGAGACGGAGCAGGCAGTGGGGAGGCCGGCTGTAACTGTAACTGTGACGGGACAGGCTGTGGACACTCTAAGGGAGGAGGAGGACCAGTAGAAGGTGGGAGACCAAGAACCTGCTGAAGGAGTGGAACGAAGTATGGCCGAGGCCGCGCGGCGACTCCAGACACAGCAGGGACAGCACCAGTACCCCCAACGGCAGCACCAGCACCAGTAGCACCTCCAGCTCCAGTACCTCCAGCAGCACCAGTAGCACCCCCAGCAGGACCGCCTCCAGGACCGACAGCAGTAGCCACCGCGTCAACACCCGCAGCAGCTCCAACTCCAGAAGTACCCGTAGGTCCAGCAGCTCCAGTACTCCCAGTACGAGCACCTCCGGGACCCGTGGCACCAGCTCCCTCAGTAGCAACAGAACCTCCAGTACCCGCAGCACCTCCAGCTCCAGTAGCTCGCCTCCAGCGGCGGGCAAACCACTCACGCAGCTCCTGTGGAGAGAGTGGCTCCCGGCGAGAAGAAGCACCCGGAGAACCGCCAGGCACAGCACCAGCAGGCCCAGCTCCCTCAGGCTCCGCACCCCCAGGCTCAGCACCTCCGGGCGTAGAACCCCCAGGCTCAGCACCCCCAGGCTCAGCACCCCCAGGCTCAGCACCCCTAGGCGTAGCACCCCCAGCCTCAGCACCCCCAGACTCAGCACCCCCAGGCTCAGCACCCCCACTCGTAGTACCCTCAGGTTCAGCACCCCCAGGCGTAGCACCCACACGCTCAGCACCCCCAGAGTCAGCACCCCCAGGCTCAGCACCCTCAACAGCACCAGAGTCACCAGCGACCTCGACACGCTCAACA